CGTCTAGGTGTAGTTGGATAATAAATTTCACTACTGCCAAGATCAAAAGCTTTTTCTACCTCCTTTACAATGATGAACCTAATGATTACCCTCTTAGGGGTATTACAAAAATACTCTAATCTCAATTCTTGGGATGAATGGTTAAATTACCTTCATTATTTATGTCTGCATTGAAGATATTGTCTGTCGTAATTTTTCCAGCCGCTTTTTCAGTGAAGACATGGAGATGAATTCTAGCTGTTTGTCAAGGGGCATTGGACAAACAGAAAGAAACCACCACATCCAAACAGGTCCCTGGGGTAGATTCTGAGGCTCGGCATCACAGCTTGGCATCTCAGAAAACATGTTTGTGATCCTTCTCTAAATCGCCAAATGGAAATAAAAAATTAAAATAAAATTATTATTATAATAGCGAAACAAACAATTGCTGCCTTTTAAAGATTTTCATAATTTCTAGTAACAACAATAATTATCATCATGGCAATAATGACAGAGTCACCACACCTTTTCTTATCTTACATTTCTTCATATTTGATACATTGAGAATAATAATTATCAATGGCTAAAATATTACTTTAATAGTGACATTTACAATAATTGTCATAATCATTAAAATGGTTACAGAAAAACTGTCATTATTCTCATTATTCATTCTTTTTTTTTGGTACATTCAGTATTTTACCTTTAGTTACAGAGATCTTGAGGTACAGCTCGATCAGCAAGTAAGGAAAAATAATATTATTATGTCTTACCCGTGGAAGGAGTGGTAGATTGTTGAACCAAGATTTTGTTTCATTGTAAACTTGTTGATGAAGTGTATTTACATCCTCTGAAGATAATTAAATAAGCAGAGTGTTAACATTCAAGATTTGTTTGTTTAATGAAAAGTTTATGAGATAATTAGACGATTGACATCCCTTGCCATCCACAAAAAACAATGTACAATGAACTTTGCAGCTCGATTCTGACATGTAAATGCATGACAGATAAGTTAAAAAGACAGTTACAGTTGAACCTCAATTGTCTGGACTCGCCAGGACTAGATGAAATGGACCAGATAATCAAGGGTCTGAATAATCGAGAATATGAATATTAATGAGGCACAAACGCTGATTAAATTAAGAAAGTGACAGTCCTGAAATAAAACACATTTAACAAATCGTTAAATGAAAAAAGTATGGTCTACGTCTTCACTGTCCTAGTTATGTGAATACTTCTACATGTAAAATTCATGAAAAATGTTTTTACATTGGCCTAAAATGTTGAAACAATTGTCAGTTTGTCTTAAAGAACAACATTGCCTGTAAAAAATTAATATGGCTATGGATCATGACTAATAAATATTCATGAAAAATTGGAACCAGAGAAAAAGTCCAGATAATCCAGAAAACCAGATAATCGAGGTCCAGATCATCAAGGTTCAACTGTATACAGTAAGCTAATTTTAGACGTTAGTCTTTTTCGACTTTATCTCCCCAAGATATGAATGGTAATTCTCCTTTTCGGTTGCGGTATGTTTTAGTGAAAAAAATGTGGCAAATGAAGGTGTAACATTGGCACCACTGTAATTGGCTATTGACTGTTGCAGTGTCCCTGCCATTATTTTTCTTATTTTTTTTTTTGTCATTGATTATCATTATTTTCTTTTTTTTGGTGAGGTTAATAAGTAAATAAATAAATAAATAAATACACTGAGGGGGCATTCCCAAGCTGATGCATTTGTATTTTCTCATGACCTGCTTCTCAAAGAATGTTCTGGCAGTGCGAGGAGAAATTACAAGTTGACCATTTCTGTAGTTTTCAAGTTGACTTGTTACCTAGTTCTTCCTCTGGGATTGTTTCATCCTTTATCCATTCTACTTTAGCTGTATGGTATCCATTTTGCATTCCTCTTTTAAGAACCTATACAGAAGCAAAAGAAGGTTCAAATTTATTTTTCATTTCACAGAATGGAATGATGATCAATATCCCTAAACAAAAATTTTTCCATAAACGGGTGTTGTTTAAAGTTTAAAGTAATTTCGAACAGACTATGATCATGGTAACCTAATTGATCAATAAATCATTTTAAGTTAAAATTGAAATTATAAACTACTGACAATGTCCACAATGTAAACATGCATATGTAGGTGTGTAAGAGGAAAGAAATTAAAAAAAGGGTGAAACACCTTAAAACGTCTCCCACCAACACAGTCAACAAAAGATCTTCCATCTGAGAGGTACTGCAAGTCTCTTATCTCAAGCATCACACCATAATCAACAAAACTACAAAAACAAACAAACAAACAAACAAACAAGAATACAGTTAGTAATACCAAGTCTTGCATGTTGAATGGGCTTAACATAAATTTATCAAGTTAATACTCAAGAGGATCTATAAGCTAGTGCACATGAATGCTTGGGAGAAAAGCCCATCAGCCTGTGAGTCTGGCTTTATGGTATAAAAAAAGGCATAAGTTCTATTCTGATGCAGAAGGGGATTTGGATGAAACACAGCTGTATTCCTTCAAAACTAATGTTGTGTGCCAGAAAAACTGCTGCCCACTTTATTCTTTCTCTCTCTACTTTTACTGGAAACTCTACTTTCCAGTTCTTAGTCAGAGAAATTTAAAAATCAAATCTTAAAAATAGAATCTACTTTGGATTTCTATTAAGTGAAAATGATGTCAGGAAATGCAGATTTAATGTCTCAACTACATAAACCTGTTCACATTTCACCGTTGAATTTCAATAAATTTGAAGTAAAATTCCCAGAGAAAGTTGAAAATAGCATTTTCAAGAGAGTACCTTAATTAAAACAAAAATCCTTGAGCCTTTGACAATTGACAGCTAGTGAGTGTGCTGCTAGCTGATCTCCTTTTTATCTGTGTAACAGCTCTGTTAATACATGAGGCTAACAGTTATCCACAGTACAAAGTTTGGGTCTTACCCCTTCTCTTCATTGTGCAGGCACATGCCAAACTGCTGTGACCCTGATTCCATACATTGCCTCACCATCAGACGATAGCGAGGTTCAAAAATATGCAGAGGGCAGGGCTGAGATGGAAATGCTAAGGTACATACAAAAATAGGCACATCTTCTGTAGTATCACTTGCCACACTGTGGGAAATACAATTGAAAATACTATGTAATGTGTTGTAAAGAGTGAGCACTTAAATTACAATCTTGTGAGTTTTTCTTGAAAACCAAATCTAACTAAAATTCAATAGAGTTTACAGGATTCAAGAGTTTGTAGCTTGCAATCTGGGTCTTTATCATTTTGTCTCCTATTTTAAATCTTCCATGATTCCTTTTTTCTTTTTGATTGTTCTTGACTTGCTGATGCTTATTTACCCTTAACAAGCAGGCAAAATATTACTTTAAAAGGATTCCTTCCAATAAATGATATATTTCTATGACTTCCTCCCCTCCCCTCCCCTCCCCTCCCATAGGGGGAGTGGGGGGGGGGGTCTCACTTAAATCTACTTAATTTCCTATGATTTGAGTCTCAAGACTATAGACATCTTTACCTTCAACGTAATCATGGAAAACATAAAGGAAAAGGTTTTTGGGACTGTTATCCAGAAGGTCAATAAAAAAGATAATTAAAAAAAAAGAAGCAGACTGAAGAAGCCTCACCTGGCTAACTTTTGCATTTCTTCTTCATGTAGTTTCTTCCTTTCTACAAACTCCTCAGGTAAAGCAGTTTCAGTAAGCCTGCTTATTGCAACTGTAACAGTCTGTTGAGACAAATTGCTCAACTATATATTAGAAAGTAGTAAGACTATATAATGACTCTTTGCATGGTTATGATAAGTAATGCCATCTGAACCTTTCATTGCCTATTAATTAAGAGATTCTTTGAAAACTAACTGAGATCCAAATGATCTAATTATAGTGAGCAGTTCTCACCTGATTTCGCTCAGCAAGGAACTAAAATATCAAAAGAAAGATAAAACAAATATAGTTAGCAAACAATATAACCAATAATTAACAATATTTTCAACCCATATATATATAATTATATATAGTTATATAGCTCTTTGGCATACAAAGCCTTGCTTTCATGTCCAAATTGAGCACTCTAACTAGGATGAGTCATTGCTCTGCAATTGCGCATGCTCGCTAGTGTACTCTAGTTTGAGCACTCTGGCATGGCTTAGACGATACCACAAAGGTTGGATCGTTTGGGGTGACCATATTGGTTCTCCTCCATCCTAGCATTAGCACTGCACTGATGAGGCCCAGAAGGCCGAAACAGTACTGTCTGCAGTTAGTTATATAATTATATATATATATATATATATCAACTAACACCATAGAGAAAACAAAATTAGATTTACATCATATGCTTTAAGACAATAATTAATATTATGATGTTGGTTAAAAAGAATTTAATAATTCCCTAATTGATACTTTTCACTTGTCTGCTTGATATTGCATTTATATTGTTAGGAGAAATTCTGTCTTGGGTCATTCAGGGGAGTTAATAAAGGCAGGGGTTTCATTAAGGGCCAGGAACCGGGCAAATTGACCAGTTGTGAGAACGGTTTTGCCCGTCTGATTTGACGGTCTGGAGTAAAGTTTATCTTCTAAAGAAGTTCAGTTCAAAGAGTTTTGCCCGCCTCAGAAAACCAGTTGCCCTTCTGCAGAAAACATTAATG